ACAAAAGTTACAAAGACTTTTTTTGTGTATAGGTCTACAATGCATTAAAGTTACTTTTTAATCCTTAAAAACTGGCTGCTCTTAAGTCCAATTCAAATTTTACAAATGAAGGCAATGGAATCATTAGATTTGCTTTAGTGAAGTATGTATAGTATTTTGGATTGCTGGGAACTGTGCTGTTACTGTGCCCAGTTAACTCATAACTATCTCAAATGTGTTCTACTGCAAAGATTCAGTTCCTCTAAGGTAACCTGACACAGTACCAAGGTCAAATGGTTAACAGATGTGCATAAGCATGACATGTCCCTAAAGCAACAACACACTTAAACTAGATAATTTTTTAGGAAGAGCAATCCAACTAGAAAGTTGCAGGTTCAGTTGGAGCGACCTGCCACTGCTACTGCAAACTGAAGAGTGTGGCCACGGTATGCCAGGAAATGGGGCCTGGTCCAACTTCAGAGAAGGCCACAAAGACCAAGGTAACCCCACTACAGACAAAGCTCATTCACCATACTCATCCTTTAATAAACAGTCATGAGGACAGAACAAAAAGCCATCACTCCAAGACCTATCATACGTAAAGTCCTTCCTGCCCTTTCAACCAGAAAGACTACAGTAAAGAAGATAGTATTAACCAGACCTGCACTAATCTATAGATTGGCTTCTCAACACCTGCGTCCTTGAAGATTCTCATTGAGTAACAGAGAAGACAACATTGATTCCAGAGAGCTACTGAGAGCTGGAGTACAATGGAAATGACAGTGGGCTGTCAGTAGCTGGGTAAAGAGCTCCAGCATAGGGACCTGCTTTTCTTGTACTATCCTAGCATTTTTATATTTCATCTCCTAGATGTCCTGGGACACATCCTGAGTCTCCTACAATTGCTGGAGGGTCTCATTAGTACTCTTCCTTTCTGTTAATGAGCAAAAATTTATGACTTGTAGGGCAAAATGGAAGGGCTACACATTACAGGACAGCTGAAAGGATGGTAAAGCCCAGTATCGCTGGGCTTAGCTCTTTAGACCCCAAGATGAACTCCAGACCAAAGATCTGGGCCTCCAGAATACCAACAATGATGCCCAGCTGGTTGAGAGCACTAAAAGTACTCCAAAGGGCAGTAGGTGAGATTTCTCCAATGTACATGGGCACAAAACCTGTGCAGGGTCCATAGAACAAGCCAGTAACCAAGTGGCCCATGATCAGCATTTCAATCAACTCAGTTTTTTTGCAGAATCCAGTGAGGCAGCCACCAGTGATAGCCAACAAATCGATAAGCATTGAATTGCACCTGCCAAAGTGGTCGACAAAGAGTGCAACAGAAAGAAGCCAATCACATCATCATTGGGGAAGATGGCCACAGACAAGGGCCAAGGGTACATGAGCAACACCTCAGACGGAGAGTCTTCTAACCTCTCTTTCAAAGTATAACTGAGAAAGTCCTTTATGATTGTCTCAGGAGCACTGATGACTCCAATGCTGTAGCCAAACTGAAAAGAAGTGGGGTGACCTTCTGTGTCCCCATGGCCCTTATCTAATTCTTTTCAAATCTTCAAAAAAGAGCTAGGAGTGGGATTCCAAAGGCACCTCTTTCAGCCAACAAAGCCTTCAAAGTGTGCAGCAAGTTTTCAGGTCCTCAGTAACACTCTAAAACTCACTCATCATTACAGGGTATCTGTGTTCTTGCTTTACCACATTTATCTCAGGCCCAAACTTAGTCATTTCTTTTTATTACATCTGAACCATCAAAGCTAAATATTTTATACTATTATGAACAACAGCAATGATACCATGTTTACGCCAAATAAATGTTATGGAAATCTAACAGATGAGTTGTTTTGAAATTTTGTGGGAGTCTGAGACAATATTGCAGAATTACTAAAGGATCAATGTTTAGTACAATCTGGTAATAAAAGCATAATAGTTCCAAAATTTGTAAATCCTTTTACCAGGGAATTTATTCTCTTTTCAATTTATTTTTTATAGTGCTTACAAAGTTTTTCAGATTTTTATGTTGGGAAGGTAACACTGGAGGTCCAATAGTTTAGTCAAGTTGTTTGAGTCTTTTGCTTATGGTTTAGGAAGTAGAAATACTTGGGGTTAAAATTGACTTTTTTTTCTTTTGAAATGGAGTCTTGCTCCGTCACCCACGCTGGAGTGTAGTGGCATGATCTTGGCTCATTGCAACCTCTGCCTCCCAGGTTCAAGCAATTCCCTGCCTCAGCCCCCTGAGTAGCTGCGATTACAGGCATGTGCCACCATACTTGGCTAAATTTTTGTATTTTCGTAGAGACAGGGTTTCACCATGTTGGCCAGGCTGGTCTTCAACTCCTGACCTCGTGATCCACCCGCCTTGGCCTCCCAAAGTACTGGGACTACGGGCATGAGCCACGTGCCCGGCATAAAATTGACTTCTATACATTACCAGTAAATCTAGATGTACCTTAAAAAACTTAAAAAATTGTTTACATTACGCAAGGAAGTTATCAATATGGGGTTTTTTTTTGCTTGTTTTACAGACCACAGTTTTACTTAATAGACAATTTTCAGTAGACTATCAAGAGATGCATGATAAACACATTTCCCCATGCAGTTTTCAAATTTTGTACTCAAGTTCTTACATTTGACTACAGGCATGAGCCACTGTACCCAGCCTCGAATATTTAAAATTCAGTTTTCTTTACCTGAAGACATGAATGTATGAATTCTAAGAGTGGTTATTCAGGAGGAAAAGCATGTAAAGGTAACTTTTTAGAATTTAGACTGTTTGAAGCTTTGAATTCATGTCAGTCAGTAGCCATTTTAAAACCCTACAATGACCTCATATTCCTTGCTTTAATGTTTCCATGTTGCAACTAAATATTTGAGCCAAAATTCCATTAGTCCAATTTATTTTAAAGGTTTCTGACTTGTAAATCTGTATAGATAAGAATCTTAATAGTAACTGCAAGTTTTATGCCTGTGACAAATACTGTATTAGCAGCTACAGATTTAGGGCAGTCTTTAAGAAAAAATGGAATGGTCAAAGTTATCTGATCACTGTGCTTTGGTTAATGTGGAACTATGATTTATATATTTTGCCCTTTCAAACTGAAATTACCTGCTAAAGTGCCATGTAAAGTCAGCAACCATCTCACCACTGTGGTTGTTGGCGCTTAGCTTTTCTCATATGTATTCTACAATTACTGAATAAGAACACAAAATCTTAATAAAGGCTGCCAAAGATTATAATTTTTTATTAAGATCTCAAGTAACTCCCCATAAGCTTACTGTGGTAAACAGATTTGGTTCTAATATTACACTGCCTCAAAGCTCTAAGTTCTTAAAACAGTACTGTCTTAAGAGAGATAAAATGTGAACGATACGTGATTTTATCTTTTCTAGTAAGCCCATTAAAAAAAAAAAACCCACAAGAAACAGATCTTTTTTTTTTTTTGAGACGAGTCTCACTCTGCTGCCCAGGCTAGAATACAGTGGTGCAATCTTGGCTCACTGCAGCCTCTGCCTCCTGGGTTCAAGCTATTCTCCTGCCTCAGCCTCCCAAGTAGCTGAGACTACAGGCACACACCGCCAGGCCTGGCTAATTTTTGTATTTTTAGTAGAGACAGAGTTTTGCTCTGGTTGGTCTCGAACTCCTGACCTCAGGTGACCCACCCACCGCTGCCTCTCAAAGAGCTGGTATTACAGGCACGAGCCACCGTGCCCGGACAAGATTCATTTTAATTGTATGTTTTTCTTTAACCCAATATTCCCAATGTTAACATTTCAACATGTAATCAATACAAAAAATTAGAAGATATTTAACCTTTTATTGTCCCTAGTCTTCAAAACCAGTGTATATTTTACACTTAGAGCACATCTCAGTGTGGACTAACCAATTTCAAATGCTCAACAGCTACATACGGGTAGCGGCTGCTGTATTTGGACAGCACAGTTCTAGAACTGCCTCTTAAAAATGAACACTATCACTGTCCTTGAAACTTTATTTGAGCTAGTTTATTTTATACAAACTGTATTTCTGATTATTCCTGAAATATCTTATATTGGCATCCTGCCATTTCATTGTAGTGCCTATCATTTTTCCATTGATACTGATAAAGTTGCCTAAGACGTATCTTCCTACATGGAGGAAATAAGAGGAAAAAACCCCTTTTGGATTGGATATATTAAAACTCATCCCACTATATCCCTACGTATATAAGTAACATTGCCTCTGCTGAGGGGAATTTGCATCCAGAACTTCAAAATTCAGACTCATCCCTTTCCGAGTTAGACAGTCGGGGAAAGAACTTCCTAAATCTTAAGGTTAAGGGTAGAGGGCTCAACCCCACTCCAGATTCAGGCAAGGGGAACAGGAAAGAGTGAGATCAGAGCATGTGGCCTCTTGGGGTCCCTCGATGGGGGCTGTGGGGAAGTGGAAAGCATTCTTTTAAGGTGATAAGAAGCAAATGGGAAAACTTGCTTCTAACTCTGGAGCTTTCAGAGGGTTAGAGGAGGTGGGAGGGATTTACTCCTGCCATGGATCATGGGCACTTCTACAATCAACTCCTGGTTTTGCAGTATGTTTATAAACGGAATAAATGGAGACTGGACCTCAATGACACTCAGCGTCTCTTCCCCTTTTCCTATATTGCTCAATCATCCTTTCCCTCCTTTGCTCTTACACATTTCAAACCCTTGCCAATAACAGTATTTTAGTTATCAGTTCTCACCATTCCCTCTGGTTGTTGAGCGTTTGGATAAAAATTCACATGGCTATGGAGGTTTTTTTTTTTTTGGAAAAGGCAACCTTCCTCTAACTGTTCCTCTATTTCTGGCTCCTCAAACAGTGAAGGGTGATAATAAGGCATGGTAGAGGTTTTCTCATTTTTCAGTCACTAGTATTTCCATATTAATTTTCCACTATTGTTACTGTGT